GTTGGAAGCAGATCATAAGCATGCTTGATTTGATAGCTACTCTAAAAGTCACTAGGACGAATTATTTTATGATCTCAATGATAAAAGTTGATTGTTTACACCCACTGTTTATCTATAGGAGAATCATATTATGAATCACATACCTAGTAGCATAGTGTTAGAGAATATGGTATGAGTACCAGATGTACCACACATGAACACACTTATTATAGAGATTGAGAATAATATATGAATTCCTTATTGATGCGTCAACATCATCTAGTACACAGATTCTTGCATCGGTACATTGATGTAGTGGGAGGATTATCATCCAATCCGATAGAATCATGTTTTTAGGTGAGACCATTATGGACATCCCTGTTAAACATGAGTTGGATCCAGTAAGGTACATGGAAGCGTGAACCGATATGGATACAGATCATTTTGGCGAGTTACTATGAAATCAGAGTTGGAATCTATATATTCTAATAAATTCTCGGATCTTGTAGAACTTTCTAGTAGGGTGATTCCTATGGAAGGCAAATTAATCTACAAAAAAATACCAGAAGATTTCTTAGTGAATAAATCATGAGTATATAAGAGAATGTCATTATTTTTTCTTAATTCTATATATTGATGACATCCTACTCATTTATAATGACGTGGAAGTTTTGTCATCAACAATAAGGTAGTTGTTCAATTACTTTTAAATGAAGGATTTTTCAAGATGTAAGCTATATTCCTAGGATCAAGCTTTTGCAAGATCGGGTTAAAAGGAAAATAGGCTTATCTTAATAATCCTACATTGATAAAGTTTTGACCAGGTTTGGTATGTATAACTCAAAGAATGAGTTCTTGCTTTATTAATATGGATTGCTCTCTCTAGTAAGTAGTTTTCCAAGACTAGCAGAGGAGATTGAGCAAATGAGACTGGAACTATATGCTTTGGCATATGGGAGTCTCATATATGCCATGGTCTATACCAAACAGGACATCCGCTACATAGTAGGGATAGTCAGTAGATATCAGTCCAATTTTGGACTTGATAACTGGTCTGTTGTGAAAAATATCATTAAGTACCTAAGGAGAACCAATGATATCATACTCATTTATGGATGTGATGATATGGTCCTAGTCAGGTATGCTAATTCTGATTTTTAATCAGAAGTAGATACTATGAGGTTCATGACTTAGTGTATGTTCACTTAATAAAAGGGAAATCAGTTGATAGATTGTTAAGCAGATTTCAACTGCTGACTCAAACTTACAGGTGGAATATATTGCAGCCTTAAAGGCGGCAAATGAAGCCTATTGGTTTGATCTCATTGATTTAGAGGTTGTGGAGTATACTAGCCTGCCTATTGAGCTATGTTGTGACAATAGTGTAGAAGTAGTCCAAACCAATGACCCAAGGTTCTATAGAGGAACAAGATACACTGAGAGGAAGTATCATGTTCTACATGATATTGTCCGGCAAGAAAATGTACTTGTAGGTAGAACATTGCATTGGAACACAACTTTGTTGATCCATTATCAAAGGTGTCATTGATCAATAATTTTGATCATCATCTGGATAACATTGGAGTTAGGTGCTATTTGAATTGGCTATGAGGGCAAGTGGGAGCTGTTGGGATTTATATGCCCTGGTATAGCAAATTCCTGTTTGGATTAAGTGACATATGTTCCTGACGTTTCTGAAATTTTTATGTTTTATACAATTGGTGAATTCAATGTATTATATTTCGATTCATTATAGAATTGATAGTGTCCATTTGATTATAAGAGATATTTATATATATGTATGTGATGGCAATCAATACTTGATATATAAATAGTAATCATAAATTGTTCATAGTCAGTAATTATGGATGAACTCATAATTAATTAAGACTTGAACTGGATCCGCGTTAGGTTGAGATATATTGCGAGAGCCGTCGTATGCAATTGCTCCCTATTACCGTCATGGCATTTGACTCTTAAGCATGAGAAAAGTATAGACTTTTTTGTTAATTAATAATTACTTTGATTTGTTCGGCGGATTCTTCGGGATCCTTAAACCGACACTTTGGGTAGTTATGTAATTAATAGTTAGATGGTTATATTTTCAAAATTTGCATCATTGCTACTTGTATTTATTTTGTATTGATTATGGTTGATCACAAAGTAAATTCAAAGGCCTTCGTATGTTTTTAGACAAAATGATTTATTATATATTTATTTATTTAAATTATTATTTTTTGTCAAACAAATGTTTTATTGTGATCAAGCCAGAAATAATCAAAGGTACCAAAATAAATATATTAATTAAGTAGTCGGATTAATGGCATTATTTATCCGATAACTAATTATGCATAGAGGGGTCAAAGTGCAACATTGACTTAGAGGTTATTTATTATTTAATTGGAGTTCAATTAATTTCTTTTAATGGAGTAGAAATTAATTTATGAATTAATTTAATTGGGTCCATGGACCGGGCCAATTATTAATTCATTGTAGTCAATAAAAATAATAAGCTCAAAGGATTCTCACTCATAACCCAACTTGATATTGGAATCATATTAGATTTGAGATATGTGAATTAGAGATTGAGAAGGATTTATAGTTTCCTTTTCCTTATCGTTATGTTGCCTATATATATACATGGTTTATGTATATTTTAGGGTGTGATTTTTATGAGAAGGAAAAAGGAATAAATTTTCTCTCTCTAGAAAATTAGGGTTAGTGTTCTCATCTAATGGAGGCTCCCACAAGCCTAGTTTTCCAAGGTCATTCATGGAGACTTATGAGTGATTCCTAAAGGCAAGACCATTACCAAGAAGATGGAGATCCATGGAAAAGGTGTCTAGCAAAAGGTGTCTAGCAAAAGGGATATACAATAAGTGAGAACATTCACTTTAGAGGAGAGATCTAAGGTTTACTCAAACCTTGATGTAAGTATTCAATCTTTTAATTGAATGATACATCATGTTTTATTTTTGTATAAAACTTGTCTCTATGTAATGAATCAAGATTTATGAATTAAAATCCCTCGAAAAGTTTTTAAAACTTGCACGTTTCTCAACAGTTCACACACCATAGCTGGTAGGTTGATTAACCATATAGGTTGCAGATAAGTTACATTCAAATAATATTTTAACACTTGCTTATCAAAAAAAATATATATTTTTTAACACTTGTTAAGGTTCTCTAGAGAACAAAATGAAGAATTCTTCGGCTTCTTTCTCACGTTCTCCCCTCTCTGTCTCTATGCTGAAAAATGAAAGTCTGCAAATTTCGACGACCAATTTAGTCTTTGAGATTCAATTTATTCGTTCGTCTTTAAATTATTTTTATCATTATAGAGGATAATATTGTAATTTTAAAAATATATAATTTAGGATAGAATTGTAAATTAAAACATCTATAATTCTTCTAATTTATATAGGGACAATACTTACCTACTCACCGACTTATACTCACCACGTATGTGGCGCAATGTTAAACTGACAAGTGTCTTTATATTTAAAATAAAAAAAAAAAACTTAATAGCTATCTGGTTTAAACACAAATGAATCCGAATCAAATTCTAATTAATCAGCTTAATCACTTTCGGTAAATAAATCCAGCTGCAAAACATTGCATTCGACATCAATCTGGATACTCTTAAATTCAATGTCTATCATAATTTATAACCAATTTCCTTCTGTTCGAAAAAACAAAAAAAAAAAAAAAACAATAAAAAACTTGTACTCATGACTAGGAAGGTGATACTAGTTAAAAACAAGAACAATCAAATTACGAAAGACCAACCTCATGCCCAAATTTCAGTTCCTTTATGGCTTGTGAATTTTTAGAAATGTTACTTACAGGTGCCATAGATTCATGCTAATAATAAAACACTAGTTTCTCTATGTAAAAATATGAGTGCGAGAGAGAGAAGGGGAGAGGGAGAGGGACAGAACGGATGAGATGAGGGCTTCTGCATGATAGAAGCATGAGAAAGAGGGAGAGAAGAGAGAATTAGAATTTGATTCGGATTCATTTGGGTTTAATCCGAAATATCTATCAAATTATTTATTTATTTATTATTTTAAATATAAGAACACTTGTTAATTTAGTATTGCGTTACATACTTAGTGAGTATAAATTTTCTATTCATCAATGAGTAGGCAAGTATTATCCTTTATATAGTGGGGTTACTCAATATTATCCTTCTACTCATCCTAATTTATTCCTAGTTTGCTATCTACTTTGGCCAATTGTTCGACTTGATATTTTGTTTGACATGAGACGAGAATAAGGGGAGAAAGGAAGAATAGGATGGAGCAGGATTCTATTGTTTAGTTGAAGGGAGTGTTTGGCAGAGGAGATTTGGTGGATGCAGGAAAGGAGAAAAGAAAAGGATCATTTTGCATGCCTTTGGAATTTAAATGTGGATATATTGGTAAAAATATTAAACCACATCTTCCTCGTCCTTACCAAGCAATGGAATGTGTCGTCACCTTCAAGAAACTAATGACACCCTTTTTTAAGTGTCTTTGTCCACGTTTTTCATCCCACTAAGAGGGGGATTAAAAGAAAAAGAAAATATTACATCAATACCTTACTTTAATGAGAACTTGCTAAAGAAAAGCATAGTGATTTTGAAAGAATAAAACAATTCTCACAAGAAAAAAAATGCAAACAATATGAAAATTCATTTGATTGAGTTTTCTTGAAGGCAACATTGAGGTAGACCCAATTTTAAAAAGATTATTTTCATATTCCTTGAAAAATTATTTTCTACTTCAGTGTTTCTTAAAATTGTTTTAAAGGAACACACCCATTGATCCTCAAAAGCTTAGACCACCAGCATACTAGTATACTCTAAAGCTTAAATAAGTATGGTGGTCTAAAATCTATAGTGCGGCGTTTGTCAATCAAGTATTTCAAAGTTAGTTGAGGTTTTCAATTGTATCATCAGAGTACACACGCCCACGCACAACCCTATCTATCATCATTCATCTTTGACTTATGAGTCATGTCCATCCTTTCCAAGACTCTAGAATAATCAACGCATTACATACCTGTTACTGCTTGGCAATTTCATCCCAGGTACAGAAATGCATCATCATTTGTAATTTAATTAATCCAGTACCAAACAAACCCACCCTATCTGAAATCAATGGTTTGAATCAACCCTCTTTTCAAGTACAAAAAGTAGTTAATGTATTCAGTCCACAAAAATCAGTGAATCTCTACTTTCTGACCATCAGATTCGGCTGGCTCCACTACCTCAGCTTCTACTGTTCCTTGGCTCTGTGGTTGTATCACTGGCTGTTCAAAGTCAGCAGCTTCTACTGTTCCTTGGTTGTGTGGTTGTATCACTGGCTGTTCAAAGTCAGCAGCTTCTACTGTTCCTTGGCTGTGTGGTTGTATCACTGGCTGTTCAAAGTCAGCAGCAGCTGAGGAAGCCCACTTGCCGGAAAGAGCAGCACCCATCATCTTATAGATCTTCCCACCGAGCTGCGCAGGACTCTCGGGCTGCATCAATCAGAAGACCAATGTGTTAAAAAGCTCATCAAAGTTAATCTATCACATTCACGGGCATCAAACTCTTGCAAGGGTCGCTAAAAAAAAAAAATCATGGTAACACTGTGGCTTCAAGCATTTTAAGCATTATCCCAGACTCTCCTAAGACAATCAATTATCCTCAAGGATCACACCAACAAAGTGACATGCTTTAGTATTACTAACTCCTTCGAAATCCTGGTGACAAAGGAATACCAAATAAACTAAAAGAAAATTTCTATAGAACGGTGGTTATTAGGCTGGGAATATTGTATGGAGGGGAGTGTTGGGGCAATGAAAAAGAACAAATACAATGCATCCATGAAGCACAAATGCAGATGCTACGTTGGATAATAGATATCACTAAAAGGTAAATAAATAACAACCGTGTGGGGGGAACAATAGGTATTGGGCCTATAAATGATAAAATTAGGGAAAGCAGGCTTAAGTGGTATGCTCATATTCAATGTAAGCCCGATGATGCATCTATTAATAGAGAAAGAGTTGTTTGTTTAGAAGGTAAGTGACAAAGAAGACGACCAGGACTCATGTAAGATGAAGTAATTAAAAACGACTGAAAAAAATCTAAATTTAAGAGAGGACAGTGTATAATAAGAAGGAATGGAAAAAGAGAATTATTGTGGTCAACCCATCTCTAATTCTCTATGGGATAAAGGCAAGGATGGTAACAATGATGATCTCTAATTCTCTACGGGATAAAGGCAAGGAGGAGGAGGTTGATGATGATGAAATGCATCATTAGAAATATAAACTGCCCTTGGTCTATAATTCATGTAAGATGTTGCCCCTGGATGACAATTTCGTTTGCAAGATAGAAGGTGCCACCACTAGCAAATGCCCAAATCAAATAAATGTAAAGATAAAGGACAATTTACTCACAGTGAAACCACTGGAAATTAAAGCTGTATCATACAACAGATCAATAACTCTCAAGGCTTCTTCATCATTTGGACTATTCTTGAATGCAGCCTGCATCATTTATAATAGATTAGAAAAAGAAAAAGTTGCTAAATGAACAGAATTGTGAAGGATGGATAGGAATCAGGTCTTCCATTATTTGGTAAAGCACCATACATTTAAGGTTTTGATGATGGAATGTTCAGGATTGATCTCAAACACCCTCCTGCCTTTCATGTATTCCAGGCTAGAAGTATCACCAACAGTCTGTGCCTTCATCAGCCTGCAAATATTCAATTTTCTATTAAGAATGCAACAGAAGTTAATAAACCTCATCGCAAGCGAAGCAACAGTAAGGCAATTCACCTCTCCATATTTGCAGACCAACCAAACCTCCCAGATACAAGAACACAAGGTGATGAGCTCAGGCGATTTGAGATTTGAACATTGGCAACTTTATTACCCAACCGCTTCTTAATCCAATCACAAGTTTGGCCAAACTCTTGCTTCATTTCCTTTTCTTTCTCCTCATTTTTATCACCTGCGAGAAATCAATTAAGAAGATATTTATCATGCCTGAGGCTCAAATACTACATAATAGGGTGGAACACATGGAATAAACTTCTACCATTCCCACAGTCTATATGAGGTTAACGTGCTTTAAGGTAGGGAACTGCAGTTCACTGAGAACAAAAGTCACCGTTTAAAATAATGAGCATGGAAAAGGTAGATTGAAATCATCTCTCTTGTCCGCCCAAAAGTTCAACCATATTGACTATCCCATATTATTGGTTTGACCAAATTTTTACCAATTTTTATCATATGATTATGGAACTCATCTTAATTCTACCCTGAAACTACCAAGTTAAAAAAGTCTTAATAAACTACCTATATCCAAATCTTCCTTGCTAATATCAACAAAATTCTTCTCTTTGTATGACTTTAGGTTTTGAATGGCAACCTCATCAATAGAATCAACCAAGTACAGCACCTGTAGCAATGACACCAAATAATAATAACACATTAAAAAACAAAAGCAAAACAAACAATATCATCTTAGCTCCATATTATCTAAAAGACAAAGCATACTTCAAGATCCTTCTCAAGAAGCCGCTCCAGGAAAGGAGTGTTTCTTGCACTAGTCACACTGTCAGTAGCAAAGAAATAGATATCCTTCTGCCCATCTTTCATATTATGGACATATTCATCCAAGCTGATCATATCTTCCTCACTCTGTGAAGAGAAAAATCGAAGCAGTGGAGCAAGACGCTTGTGGTTTTCATGATCATCAATGCAGCCCAATTTCAGGAATTTGCCAAAGTTCTCAAAGAACTTCTCATAATCCTAAAACATAAAGAAAAGGCAAGATGAAAAACAAAAAAGAGAGAAGATGTGATTCTTCATGCTGAGTTGCAATTACATTGGCATATAATGACAATAGATTTAATGGTGAAGCATAACACTGAGGAAAATATGCCACAAAGTAACATCATTAAAGATTTTCTTAGATAAATGCCAAGAAACAGGGAAGATCGAAAAACAAAGACGTACATCTTTGTTATCGCTCATGGATATGCCAAGAATCATGTCAAAGGCCTTCCGCACCAAACGCTTCCTCATAATCCGTACCTTTGAGAATAGAATACAAGGCAAGTTAGCAATTTAAAGTTTATTAGAGCCATATCAACCGTCTGCATCTAAAGGTTCAATATGTAGTATTCATTGGATGTACTTACAATACGACTTTCCTGGAGAATTTCACGTGACACATTAAGGGGAAGGTCATTTGAATCGACAACACCTTTGACAAAGCTCAGATATCGTGGGAACTATTCCACCATCAGAACAACAATGAATATTAGTTAGAATATATCTATAAACCATTATCCCCCTCTGCTGTAAAACACTTTGCCATTGTTCTTACCAATTCTCCATCAAAATCGTCTGAAATGAACACCCGTTTTACATAGAGCCTTATATTCTTTGTCTTGGAATTGAGAAGCTCATCCTTTCCCATGGGAGCCATGCCTGGCACATAGAGTATAGACCTAAACTCCACCTCACCCTTCAAGTTTAAAAGAAAAATATCAGCATATTTTTCACCAAGGAAAGCGAAACCAAACAGGGGAAAAAATCAGCATCTATTTGATTGTTTTTCTTTTTTCTAAAAATTAAGACACATAAGCATGCATTCCAAGACACAAAAGAATGCATTCTCATCAGAACTTGAACCCTGAACCTCTCTCTTTAAGGGTTATCCAGTGACACCACTCAAGCAAACATCTGGTGATAAGAAAATTCGTAAAATTATATAATTAGGTAGTATAAGAAAATTCATAAAACTATATAATTAGGTAGTATAAGAACCATCACCTCTGTAGTGAAGTGTGAAGACGCTAATGGATCCAAGTATTCATTGAAAGTATTCTTATAGAACTCATTATATTCTTCGGTGGTGACTTCCTTGGGGTTCCGAAGCTGTGCATATACAGAAGGACCATATTTGATTATTCTTGAAGACAATGTGATTTTGAAAGCACATTAAGGAAAAGAAAAGGTATTTCAAGGCTCACCCATATAGGCTGGGTCTCATTAGTGAGTTCCCACTCCCAGTACTTCTCAATAACCTTCTTAGTTTTCTTCTTTTTCTGTTATAACACAAAAACAAACAAATTACCATTATTTGCTATATGGAAGTTTCATTTGAAAAGAAAGGGAGGAAAATATGATAAATATAATTAAATTCAGTGAAAGAACCAGACAAGTACCTCTGCTGTCTCATCTTGTTCATCCTTCTTGGCCTCAGTTGGATCCTCTTCAACCTCAACCTGTAATAGATATTAATATTATAAAAGTAGAAAATAAACAGTGATAAATAGATAAACACATATACATAACATCAAAATCTTTGTGATGTAAGGGGCATTGGTAATAGACCCCTATAAATAGTCAATAAAGACCCTCTGGGGAAAAGACATTTGGCAAGTGACGTACCTCTTTAGTGTATCCCTTCTCCTGCCAGGTGTAAATTGGGAATGAAACAAACTGTGAATAGTTTTTCACAAGCTTTTGAACCCTTTCTGGATGTGCATAGCCTTTGTCATCACCCTATAGAGTATAAGTAACAAACATTCAGGTTAGCTAGGAGGTAGTAAAAAAAGGTCACAAGCTACCTTAACAAACAAATTCTGTAGCAAACCTTAAGATATAAGGTTAGACGGGTCCCTCTTGGAATGAGCTTCTCAGGATCAGTCTCCTCTCGAATTGTATAGGAACTAGAATTGGCCTCTCCTTCCCACACAAATTGCTTATCAGATTTTGGGCTCTTTGTTGAGACAACTACCTTCAAATGATCAAGAGATGTGAGATTGACAGAAATCCATGTTAATGAGTAGAGAAGATGAGCATATTCATATTGTACAGCTTCGGAATGTGACATACCCGATCAGATACTAAGAACGCCGAATAAAATCCCACACCAAATTGACCAATTAAATTGCTGTCAGCGCCAGCATCCTTGCTCTCCTATTAAATTATATAACATCCCGAAGTTTGTGAGATTACTCTTAAAAAATTTATATTGCATAATGTAAACACCACTTCACTTTCAACTTTTAAAGGAATAAAAGTGAAGGTACACCTTCAATGCCGTTAAAAACTTCGCAGTTCCACTTTGTGCAATAGTTCCAAGACACTCAACAAGTTCTTGTCGGGTCATACCAATGCCAGAATCCCTTCATAAAGAAAATAAAATCATAATATTGCTACTTTAACAACATTACCCTCAAAAAAGTTTTTACAGCACATAAAGCTTACGTGAGAGTGATTATCCCATTATCTTTATCAGTCTGGATACGGATATCAAGATCAATTGCATCCTTCAAAAGATCAGGTTCTGTAACACTAAGAAATCGCAGTTTGTCCAAGGCATCACTTGCATTGCTGTAGATTCATAATTTGCAAATAAAAATTAGAATTATCTAACATGAAAGTATGAAACAAACTTCTAATTCATGTTTAATGTTTTCTGTTCCCTGTTTAGGGCAGTCAACTAGTCACTTTCAATGCTTGGAAACAAACACAAGCGTCATGGACTACAAAATTAGATATGTTAAGTAATACAGAAATAGACCATCATACAACTAAAATTGGAATGCAGGATGTGAATGGGAAACCATTTCCACGAAATTTCATGGACTACAAGCATTCCCATGATAAATCATATGAATGCCAAGCATGCCCAAAATTGATGGCTCAGGGGTGGCAAAACTTCAAATTATATTATATTGGCCGTTCCAAGATTACAATGTAAAAAAGAAAGTATAAGGAAATGCCCACAGGTAAAAGAAAATAGAAAAATAAAATATTATCAGAACAGTTGTCATGTTAATGACACATTTTCAAGCCAACCAAGAGTCCTTTTCCCAAATCTGCAGTTGAGAAAGGCAGACCACATACAACAATGGCGGACAAAACAAAGTGGACATGAGAGAGGCCATAAGAGACATGGTCTCCACCAAAGTCCAGCCTCTCCTTTCAATATATCACATTACCTAAAAAAAAACTTTGTACAAAAATTAATTGTTTTGCTCATCTAAAAATCAAATGGAATAAAAAATCCAAATGATCTAGCATTCAAGATTTCTTTGATAATTGGTTCTATATCAATTCAAGATATTATTCACTCTCAATTTTGGCATCAGATCTCCTTTCATTAAAATGAAAAAGAAGTTGAAAATGAGAATATTTGATGCCAAACTTGAGAAAACACCTGTTTGTTGAAAGAACTAGTAGATCAATACATGCCTGATAAGCTCCCGAAGAAAAACCTCTTTGTTGCTGTATAAACTGTTAACAATGAGGTCCATAAGGCGGCTAACCTGCCACCAAGCAGAAGAAAGATATAAACTACTGACTCTGCCACATTTTACAACTAAACTCAATCAGCATTTATTGTTCAAGTGATGTATGTACCTCTGCTTGATACTCATGTTTCTCAGCTGGGGCATCTGATGCATCAGATGCCACAGCAGTCGATAAGTATCGGTTGCTGAGAAACTGCCCATTTCTCATGTTAAGCAGCTTAACAGTTGTGTTGCATCTCCCACTGCTTAACACAGAATACCATCTGAAATTGGTATCACTCCCTCCAGCCTGCTAATGGTGTATGGCATAAGATGATGTAAGTACCATAATACATGTGAAAAAAGGAGACATTCCAAGTAACTGGCACAAAAAAAGAAGATATATAATCTATTACTTTAATGCAAGGCAATCATCCTAGAAACAAACTATTTCCTCCCCTACTACATCATGAGGGCCAAATTTGATAATCGAATAAAAAGAATGGATAAGTTGAGAGGAAAAACCTTCAAAAACATCCACATTTTGGACCATATACATATATGGCTGAAATAAATAAAACTTCAGCATGTTAAACAAAATAAAAAGTTAAACTGCTTCAAGTAGGCAACTAGAAGGGAAACTCCAGCCATATATATATATATATATATATATATATATATATATTAAAAAAGTAATATAATATGAACTTGCAAAATAATTTATAAAACCAGAATAAATTCAATTGAATCTCATATATGAATGATCATTAGAAATGCTAAGCATCAGACGTTGCATTTCTAATTTAAAGAGAGGGATTACACACTAATATTATTAGATCTCGTTCCATCTTATTGAAATGTATTGTTTTCTATTCTGGGGTTTACATATACTCATAATTGTTGTTATAATTGAAATGGAGAAGGATTTTTTTTTATTGAAAAAAATCAATACTGATTAGTTATGTATCAATTTGGATTTTCGAAAACATAATTTTAGATTTAAATCCAAGAATCGTTAATGGTTAATAGTTAATGGTTCAAATTTGTCATGAATTTTGGTTTTTGGGACTGAAAATCTCAATTTTCAAGATTTGCTAGGATAGATAGGGTAAAAGGGTGGTTGTAGGCTTGTCTACACTTCTCTTTACTCTTAGGGGTGTGTTTCAGTGAGATTTTTATCTCACTTTCTCTTTTGTACTTTATTGCTTATTTATAATATTTTTTCTTCATTTAGGAAAAAAAAAAAAAATTAAAGAGAGGGAAAAAAAAAGTAAGCATTCAACAAAATTTCAATATAAACAAGTCTTCATCACAAACCTATTGATATAACTCAGAACCGTAATCTCAACATATCAGTTTATGCACAAAATGTATACAGATAAAAAATCAAATCGATAGAAGATCAATAAAAATTAAAACACAAATGATTTTGATGAACACAGAATTGAAACTGGGTGTAAATGTATTTTTAAGGTTTCGAAAGTTTATACCAATTCGTTGAAGAGATTGGAAGAAGAAATTGGGGCAACGGCATTCCGATAACGTGCGGCGCCACCGCGCAAGAGAGTGGAGACGGAACGCCTCGAGACCCTGTGCATGTTAGCAATGACCAATAAACACACAAAAGAGACTATTCTTGTGTTGTGAGAGAAAGAGGTTTTGATCAGAGAGCGTCTCTTGGGATGTGATTAGGGTTTTTGTAAGGGTTCTGGCTTAGGGGTTTATGGAAGCTTCTGGAGATGGCATTTTCTTTTATATAAGAAATGATCAGGGGTGTTTTAGTCATTTCACATCATATAGGCATAGGAGGAGATGATTCACCGTGTCAGCGTTTCTCAATATAATATGTATATTGACCCAATGAGGTATGCTACACGTTGATCTCAACCATTCATTTTAAGTCAAAACTCATAAATGTAAGCATGATGTAGGTGCAGACTCCATTCAGGGTTGGATTGAGAGAAGCTTCTCAATCAAAAGGTGAAGGGTACCCCTTATAGCGGAAGTGCCCTACTTGTTAGAACTTTTATAAAAATATATTTAAAAAAGGGGATCTGTATTGGTGCTCCAAAATAATACTTAGACTCTCCACTTTTATATATTTGTAAATAATATGACAAAAATAACTCTAAATTTTTCAAAAAGGTCTTCCCTTTCATGGATTCTCTCCGATTCCAAATATATAAAAAGATACGATCATACTGTATATAATTATGGTACATTATATAAACATATGTACCACCTCGAAAACTTTTTTTAAAAGGGATCAATTAAAAGTCAAACTCGTAATAATTCTAAAAAACTTCATAACTTCAACCAAATATATAAAAGGTATATACGGTAAATAATAATGGTACATAATATAAACATATATACCATCTCAAATACGGTAAATAATAAATCAATTACAAGTTTAATTTAATAATTCTAATTATGAGAAACTTTGGAGTTTCAACATTAACTATAATGAATCAATCGTAAACAAAAAAATGCACAGCTCTAAAACTTTCTTAGTTTTGTTGTTAATTCCATATTAAAAAAAAATTAATTAATTAATTAAACTTTTGCTCATATGGACATACAACCATTGTGACAAATTGCAATAGAAAATTTCACTTTTGCTCTCTACAACTCAGCCATTTGCTTATTCTTCTAATTGAAAACTTAATTCAAATATTTTTAAAATTATTTTCATCGAGCTTCATATGTTTAATTTTCTTATTATTCTTATTTATTTATGTACTATTGTAGAGAATAAATGAGAATTTATAACATTGCTCTCAATTTCATTGTGACCGGTGAGTTAGAATTTTACAAAAACGATAAGTAATTCGAATATTTTTTTAACGCGTTTTTATATTAATGCATTATATATATGATCTTTGATGGTTTTGTTAGAGTAAAAAAGGAAGAACTCAAAGAGAAAGCAAAAGAGTTATAAAAGATAATTAAGGATGAGAGAGGGAAAAGAAAAAGGAGGAGAATAGGATGTTGGGATAGTAAAGGGTTATTCTTGTCATTTTCTTAATATATATATATATATATATATATATTGGAGTGGAGCGTTTAAAGATGATTTTGGTGGAGCAAAAATATTAGCTTCCTTAAAATAAAAAAATAAAAAAAAAAACCTTCAAAAATCCTCATTCTTTCTATGAACAGAAGTCAATTACTAAATTTGCCTTTAATTTAAAAAGTTAGAGAGAAATGAAATTTGTATTCATTTCTGAAATGAATGGAAAATTGAGGATTATGAGTTACAATGGCGGAATGCCCAAGCCCTTAATAATGACTGGCATGTGACTTGTCTCCTCATATTATACTTGAAAATTCATGTTTCTGGTTTCACCCATACGGACACAGAATAGATATGATACGATATGGCAATATGACAAAACTTTTATTTATTTTAAAAAGGACATGAATATATGAAAAAATAATAAGATAAGATATTATTATATATAAAATAATAATGATTTTACTCATTCTATCCCTACAAATCATGAAGATGTTAATTATTTTTGTTTCTTTTAAAAATTTTATATTATTTTTATAATTAATCCATAATGTATTTTAAATTGCATTAAATTCCATTCTTTAAAAAAAAAATTACAAAAACACCTTACTCGTGTTCAAAGTGTGTTTCATCTGTGTCATAGTTTTGTCGGTCACTACCCCCTAAACGAAGCATCAGTGCTTTTAACTTGGGATACTTCAATGTCTGATTTTTTTTTTTTATAATAAAATCAAGTATAAATTATGTGTTTACCATGTAATTCAAATCTTCAAAGTTATTGAAACCATCTCAATTCTTATTTATATATATAATAAGATTTGACATATAAAAGAGCTAGCCCAATGCACGAGACTCCGATCATAATATAATCAGTAAGTAACAAATTCCTTGCATCTTGTCATCAAAGAAGGTTACCCCTAGCTTCTTGGTTTTCTGTTGCTCATCTAGTTTAGAGTAGGACTTTCTGTTAAACGTAATTTCAAATCAGTGCTCTTCATTATTAATTTTGTACATGGGATTTCTAGAAAAGGGAAATAAGAAGGAAGAAGAAGAAGAGTTTTGAAAATCCAGGCCTTCTAGTCAAGGGCTTTTGAACTTACCTCTGTTGGTATTTCACTACCAGACCTGTGTGTTTCAATTTATGGAAGTTCTTTCTCAATAAGCAATTTAGTGCAACTTGTAAAAAAGAAAAAGAAAAAGAAAAAGAAAAACATTAAACAATAATAATTCATGTGAAAGACCATTATAGTGTAACAAGAAGCTCCCTTCATCCCTTTCAACATAGACAAATGATTTGCAAATAGAATCCTTCACATAATTAATTTCACATACAGAATGATATATTAGTGGAATTTTTCAAAGTACATTAGACATCATTCATCTTTTGTTTTAGAATGACAGGAAACTAATTTCACATGTCAATCTAGCTATGTGAATTTCTGGTTTAAAATGATGTTATTGCATTAGAATGACAGGAAACTAAATTTCACATGTCAATCCATGAACCATTTGTTCATGACCCCCTATTGCGTACTATTTTGATGCCCTCTGATTTGGATGAATAAAACATGATTCAACAATAGAGATCAAAGAGGTCACTGGAATATATATATATATATATATATATATATATATATATTCTAAAAGGAGAGGTTAAACTATGGTGCCTTCCACGGCCATGTAATTGTTGAACATGCACTTGATCATAAGAGTGTCTTCTAGACATCAATTATATTAATTATTCATCTCCCAACCCTCTCTGCCAAAGCAAAAGTACAATACCAAAATGAAATTCTATAAAATTGAGATGTACATAGATGAAGAGAAGACAAGTTTATCTACAGACGAAGAGAAGTATCAACTTCAGAATTTTCAAAATGTTGTGGTGTGCTCACAACTGCCGCATCCGTGGACCATAAGTTTATCCACGGTGAGGTCTTGATAGCTCTAAAATCGGTACGCTTGCTCTGTGAGTTAAGTCCGAGGGAGAGTGAATCCTGAAGAGGTGGTGTCGGTGGGAAGATGATTTCAGGTTGGAAGGACAACTTGGCAGCTTGAGAACGCGAGGTTGGGGTGGTTTTTTCCGGCTCTGAGAACAATTTTAGAAGCTGTCTCTCCTCTCTCTTCTCCCTAACTCTTTCCAATTGTCTGAATCTTTCTTGTAGGAGAGCAATGGAGGAACCAACCACCATAGAATCACCACTTTGCCTTCCCATTGGAATGGAAATAGAGAGCTTCAATTTGTTGGTAATTAAGTTTATTGTATGATAGTCTTGAAGGGCTATATGTGCATCATATATATATATATATATATAGGAGAATAATGTTAGGTGTTTTGGCACTAAATTATGTGTTTTGAGGCTTCTAAATGATTCAGGGTGATTAAGCAGAGGGAAGAATCGGCAACTGTTGAACAAAGTCCAAAAGGAAAAGTTTGTGATCGTAGTGTAAGGTAGGTTGGGGTGATGTATGTGAAGGCAAAAGGACTTGTTGAGGGAGGAAAATGGTGAGGAAAAGAGTCCAAATGGAGGGTGGAGAGTAGCTTTTGGAAGGGTGTGTGCAAGGGAATAAATGGTTAGGTTATGGTTCTGTCTGCTTGTTTTTAGAAAAATGGTACCAAACTTTGGTGGGTATTGGGTGGAATATTACTTCTTTTTCCTTCTGATTTTAACCTCTACTTCCTTTTGCCTTGTGATGGAAGCTCGGGTAGAAAAGGTAAGGATAGGAAGAAAAGACAAGGATTAGGAATTTTTTTAGAGTTTAGTGAATCCATTGGATGATTGATTTTAACCATTTGATCTTTAAGTTCTTTACAATTGTGATATCCATTTGATTATATGATCTAGTTGAACTATTTTCTCAAATGTCTAAGATGGGGTATGAAGTTATGACATGCAATTTTTTGATTCAGTTATATCACACAAGGCAAGTAAAATAAAAATGGACCTGCTGTAATTTTGGATAATTTTTAATTTCATATGAATGTTATTAATACAATACCAATTAACAATGTACCATAACTGGCCACTTGCATCTGAAGTCTGAACAGGTGGATATTCTGTTTCGGATGGCGTTTTGTTTATTCATTAAATTTACATGACAAAGCCAGAGCATTTCAGTGCACCATTTTGGATTTGCTTTTGTATAGTAATAATAATTTTTTTGTCTATTAATCTCTTGTTGAGAATATCATTCATTCATTAATTTATGAATGTAATGGTAAAGTAGTTATATTTATATTTGAAATCAGAAAAATTAAATACAATATAAAATTTGGTAGATCCTACATTCTTCAAATTCTGCAATGATAAGAAGACTTGGTTAACATTATGCATCACATTATTTTAAGAAATAGTCATGTAAAAAAATTTAGATAATAACAAAATTCAAATACTAATAAGACCCTGTTTGGCGTGGCTTCCAAGCCTTGAAAGTCATTCCACGTACATGTATTGCAGTATTGGTGCTTGGTAGTTGAAGATGACTTTGTCAGACCGTTATTCAGAGCTCTTCATTTGTTGCGCTCACTGTTAGGCCTTGATCGTTTGAAATGCTCAAACTCACGTCTCTCCATTCCCTTCAACCAGACCTTCCTCACAACCTCCATTTCTCACTCCTCCAAAACTCCAAAACCCCACAAGAAGTTACTCAACTTCACGCTCTCACGATTAAAACAGCCACCTTCCATCACCAATCAATTTCTTCTCGACTCATAGCTCTATATGCAGACCCCAAAATCAACAACCTCCACTACGCTCGATCTGTTTTCGACCAAATTCAAGAACCCGCTTTGTTTTCTTGGAACACGATCATCAAATGCTACGTTGAAAACCATCGTTCACATGACGCCCTTCTTCTGTTACACCAATTGCTTTCTGGTTCGGTTTGTGTGCCGGACGATTTCACTTTACCTTGCGTGATTAAGGGTTGTGCGCGATTACATGCTGTCGAGGAGGGTAAACAGATTCATGGGCTAGTTTTGAAAATTGGGTTTGGTTTGGATATGTATGTTCAGAGCAGTTTGGTTAACATGTACTCAAAGTGTAGTGACATTGATTCTGCTCGTAAGGTGTTTGACAGAATGGAGAACAGGGATGTAGTTGTCTGGAATTCTTTGGTGGATGGGTATGCTCGATGCAAGGGAATCGAAATGGCATTGGAGTTGTTTGATAAAATGCCCCAACGGGATGCTTTTTCATGGACTGTTTTGGTCGATGGTTTTTCTAAATGTGGGAGGGTTAAGGATGCAAGGAAGGTATTTGACAGGATGCCAAGTAAGAACTTGGCATCGTGGAATGCCATGATTAATGGGTATATGAAATTTGGGGATTTTAAGTCAGCACGCCAATTGTTTGATTCCATGGAAGCAAGAGATATAATCACCTGGAATTCAATGATATCAGGGTATGAATTAAATGGTCTTTTTATGGATGCTATGGAGCTGTTTCAGACAATGTTGAATTTGGGTCTTATGCCTACTTATGCTACCTTGGCTAGTGCTCTTTCCACAGTTTCAGGGTTAACTCTTCTTAGCAAAGGAAGGTGGATACATTCTTACATGGTGAAAAATGGAATTGAAGTAGAAGGCTTGCTTGCTACATTGCTGATCGAAATGTATTCCAAGTGTGGGAGCATTGAGTGTGCTTTAACAGTTTTTCGTGCAATACCCAGTAAGAAGTTGGGGCATTGGACTGCTATAATTATAGGACTAGGAATGCATGGTATGGCCTGTGACGCTCTTGAATTATTTGCTGAAATGCACAGAGTTGGAGTTACACCAAATGCTATAACCTTTATCGGAGTGTTAAATGCTTGTAATCATGCAGGATTGGTTGATGATGGTAGGAGGTACTTTGATATGATGACAAATGAATATGGAATAGAACCCACCATTGAACACTACGGTTGCTTGGTGGATATTCTATGCCGAGCTGGACATCTTGAAGAGGCAAAGAATTTAATGCAAAATATGCCTATGAAACCGAACAAAGTCATTTGGGTGAGCTTGCTTAGTGGTTCTAGGAACCATAAAAACACAGATATTGGTGAATATGCAGCTCGACATTTACTTGAAGTGGCTCCAGAAAGTATTCAATGTTATATTCTTCTGTCCAACATGTATGCTGCAGCTGGTCAGTGGGACAAGGTTTCACAGGTAAGAGAAATGATGAAGAAGAGAGGAGTCCAAAAAGAACCAGGATGCAGTTCAATAGAGCATAAAGGCCTGCTTCATGAGTTTATTGTGGGCGATAAATCCCATCCCCAAGCTAAATATATATATTCTAAGCTGCGGGAGATGAGGGAAAAATTGAAATGTATGGGCCATGTACCGGACACAACACAAGTTCTGTTGTGTATCGAAGGGGAGAAAGAGAAGGAAGCTGAATTGGAAAATCACAGTGAAAGGTTGGCTATTGCTTTCGGTCTCATTAATGTGGAACCGGGGAACCCGATTCGCATTGTGAAGAATCTTCGTGTTTGTAATGATTGCCACACAGTTACAAAACTTCTCTCTGAAATCTATGACCGTGAAATTATTGTGAGAGACAATAGCCGCTTTCATCAGTTCAAAAATGGGTCATGTTCTTGCATGGATTATTGGTGATTGCCTGGCTTGTTGGTTGATATAAATGTCCGACTTAAGAGCACGAATTAGACTTCTCCTAAGCATTGCCAATAGACCACAGAAACGGCTTCTTTGCTGGGTTTGAAATAGCCTTCAGTCTTGTGTATAGAAGTAATCACAACGTATAAGCTTGTTTGGGGCTTTGCAAAATATTCTCTGGTACAACATAACTCCTTGATTAAAATTGTTTCTGTTTGAAGTTCTGCCATAAAACATATGGTTAATGGCTGACCCTTTTAACTTTCGGCCTTCCATATGCTTTAGGCGGTCATTGTTCACTTGTTTTACACTATATATGTAGAAAGATGAGAGAACTTGTAACCTTCCAACTATTCAGGTTGGAGCTAATTTTGTAAACTTGAATATTTTCTTCTCCATCTTGGCAGCATAGATAGCATGAATGTTTTTACGAGACTATATGTTTATTTGTGCATATAATATAGCAGAGATTTTTTTTTAAGTTATATGTTTATTATGTGCAGATAAATACTTATACTGGAAATCAACATTGAGGAGAAATTATTTAGATTATAGCGAAAAAGTGACGGTGGTGGACACTCAAGTGCAATATAGTTCAAGATAACCAGTTTTTGCTAGTAATATTACATCCGTACTGATCAACTCCACTTTAGCAATGTTACATCTCATTGAGGCACAGAACTTGATTACTTTCACTTTCCTGGTACAAAGTTGGTGGCATAAGCCCATGCATTGTTGGCCACTGGATCAGCAAGGTGGTCGTAGAGGTTCTCAATTGGTCCCTTTCCGGTGACGATGGCCTGAACAAAGAATCCGAACATGGAAAACATAGCCAAACGTCCGTTCTTGATCTCCTTCACCTTCAATTCTGCAAATGCCTCAGGATCATCAGCCAAACCAAGTGGGTCAAAGGCCCCTCCTGGGTAAATTTTGTCCAGTCCTTCACCAAGTGGGCCTCCTCCAACCCGGTACCCTTCGACAAAGCCCATGAGCACAACTTGGCAGGCCCAAATTGCAAGGATGCTCTGGGCATGGACAAGGTTTGGGTTGCCTAGATAATCAAGGCCACCTTCTGAGAAGATTTGGGCCCCGGCCTTGAACCAAACTGCCTCACCAAATTTTACGCCATTCTTTGCAAGAATTTCAGGGAAGACACATCCAAGTGCACCGAGCATAGCCCATCTGCAGTGGATGACTTCTAACTCACGGTTCTTGGCAAATGTCTCTGGATCTGCTGACAGCCCAGCAGTGTCCCATCCGTAGTCACCAGGGAATTCACCTGTCAGGTATGATGGAGTTTGCTCGGAAAATGGGCCCAAGTACTTCGGGCGGTCTGGCCCATACCTTTTAAAACATTAACAGGTCATATGGATCAGATTGTATTGAGACAACAATGATGCAGCAAATCTGTGCTTGTGAGTTTTTGTGTAAATCCCATGTCATACATTTTCTAAACTTTTTAGTGTAAAATAGATTTGCAATGCTAATAACATTTATTTATTTATTGGTTGGTAAGCAGAATAAGAAAAAACTCACTTAGACACACCAAGGTGAGACTCAAATCGCTAGCTTTTTTTTTTTTTTTCTTTTGGACAAGAGATTTTGCTATAAGAGTAATATAATGATGCTCTTATAAGATACTATATAGCAATGGTTATAGAAGTTACAAACCATATGCTTTCAGGAGCACTTTTCACGGTTCGTCGCATGGTGACACGGCCGCCACCAAAGCTGCCAACCTTCCTTATGAGTTCATTCTGTGCCTTCAAAGCCGTCTGACCGGCGAATGCTGATCGTTGGATTGCAGAGGTTGCCATGATTAATTTGCTGATGTTTGTTTCTCTGTATGGGTTGTAGTAAGCAGAGAGTAGTACGGTTTGTAGTTGTGGAAGTGAACTGTGGAGGGCGAGGTTATAAAAGGAATTGGAGATAAATTGTAGATTAGGAAATCTACATGTCACCACCATTTTATTGGCTCTTAGATTTCCATCACGATTTTGAGAGAGATTATATATCTGCCATGTGGCCCAGCTGATTGGTTTTCGGATTTCCATGTGATTTTGAGAGTAATTATTTATCTGCCTTGTGGACCATATGATCTGATTGGTTCTTATATTTGCATTATAATTTGAGAGTGATTACTTATCTGCCACGTGGCTCTGACAAATTTGGTTGGTGGATGGTTTCACGAGTTCATCATGCACCACAAACATTTGCCTTCACCTTTTGGCCTCTTCTTTCTAGAGGACCAAAAATGGCTTCGAATGAAAATAGCGGAAAAAGAAATATATTTTACGTAACATTTTACAAATATAGTGTAATGATCCTCTCCCTAAGTGTTGGGCAGGGGAACTACCACTACCCAATACCTGTTGGCTAACCAAATGCAGAAAAGTAGTTTTCATTTCATTCCCTTCCCTTGCACTTTTACTATCAATTTCCAACTAACTAAACTGACCTAAAGAGGGAAAAAAAAAAAAAAAAAAAAAACCTTGGTGCTTAGGGTGGGTTGATACCAATCCATGATCCGATCCATGTACCAATGCCCCACCTATTTCACCAAGTACAACTATACCAGGCTCATGCACGTTACTTTAATTCAAACAAGAAAAACTCATATTGGTTTCTATCTCTAAACATTATCGTATGTGTGAATCATTCTTTTCACTCCATTGGGGAAGGGCCCTCTTCCACTCCAGTATCAACCTGGGCTATGCCCAACATGATTGCAGTCAGCATCAGCTTGCCGGCATCAGGGAAATCCTTGTGCTGCATCAAAATTGCTTCCACAGAAGAACCTGAATCCTTCAATGTTTGAAGCTCTATATTCTCTTGCCTCAATGGAAGCACTTCGTCAAACCCTCCTTCATAAGTTTCTGCTTCGGGTCCATAACACCTACTCGAAGCTTGGAAGATCATGGTTTCTCCAAGGACCCGTATGGTTTCCTCATCGCTCCACCCCTGTAATATGGATGCCTGATAGAGTTTCTCCCAATCATCCTGATCCACAACATTCTTCCAGCACTCCTCCAAAAGGCTTCTGTTACACTTGAGAAAGGAGGAGCTGGTCCATGCAAACACATCAAAAGCCAGCAATGACAGCTCTGAATTTTGTTCTTTAAGGCAAAGCTTAATAAGGTCGGCCGGGGGGAGAAGCCGGTTTCCAATGTTTTGCTTCTCTTCATTGTCAGGAAAGAGTTTTAAAATCTGTTCCTGCAACAAGAGTCAACCAGAAGCAAATGGGAAAAGTTGATAAAAGATACATGATCAAGAGACTAACAAAAATAATGTCTCATATTCTAGTTATCATTGAACAGTCTCAAAGATCCCAGACTAACCATCCATGTCCTTTAAAATCAAGCCAAGCAAGAGAACAAATTTGAGCAGCTCAATACCCGAGCTTGAACTGGGTTTGCAACACCAAATTGAGTCCAGAAAATGTTATTGTATCATAAACTGGGTTTGCAATGTATACTAACACTCTGGATATAATTACTATTTTTTTTTTTTTTTCTCTGCTGCCTCCTTTTCAATTATTTTTACAAACCTATGGAGACTAATTTTCTTTAGAATCTCACTTTATAATGCACTGTAATAGGTGTCATCTTAGGGGAATAAATACCGAAGTGGAGAATGCATCACCCAGTGGTAAAACAGGTAAAAAAATTTAAGGGTGCAGCTTGGCACTGTATCAAAGTCCACAACCAACACAATCTTCATGGTTTGGTTCTCAACGCAACTGGGTTAGACATCCACAAAAAAGACATCAGTTTCTTTTTTAGTTGGCATGACATTAAGCCATCTTTTAATTCAGTCTTCTTTTCCCTTTACTGTTCAGGAAACATAGTGAAGGGAATGAGATGGTACACTGAAGACAGAGCGATTAAGAGAGGAATGAAATTGGGAAACCTATTCTAGAATTTGTAGTGGCATATCAGAGCTATTGTTGACAAGAATATCAAAAGAGATTCTTGGAGAATCAACAGGACAAGGGTCATAATTAAGGAACTTAGTGGTGGAGCGAGGATGTTCAAAACATCAAAAAAAACAAAAATTGAGTGTTCTAAATTTAGATAAAATAAAAAAATGAAAAAACCTTTAAAAACTGCAAATATGAAAAGAAAGTTTAAAAGTACAGAGACAAGTCCAAGTACAGTCCATAAGGCGATCAATATTCTATAATGGGTACAAAATATGAGATAATATATATATATATATACCTGAAAAGTCAAAGGGATCGGAAAACTAGAGACTTTAATAATATTATTATGTACATTAGGAGTGAGAATGTAAGAGTATTAGTAAAAGATGATGATATTAGAGAGCTATTTAATGAAAATCATATGGGAAACTTGGGTTTAGAAGAATATAATAATTTGAGAGAGATTGGGGAGATCAATTTTTTTTTTTTTTTTCCTTTTCAAGATCAGGGAGTGAGATAAATAAAATAAAAAAGGTGTTGAGGAAAATAGAAACAAGATGAACTATTAGACTACATGACATCCCTGTTAAGGTTTGAAGTGTTACCAACAACATTATTAAGTACATCAAGAATGTAAGAGTATTCTTAAAAGATGGTGAAATTAGAGAGCTATTCAATGAAAGTCATATAGGAAACTTTTAGGTTTAGAAGAATACGGCCATTATAGATATGGAGAAAACCTATTATAGGACCCCTAGGATAATAATAGGACTTTTAGAAAAGAGAGAAGCTTCAGTTCGACATTGAGACATACATGTATAATGAAATTGTAATCAAAGTGAGAAAATCTAAGGACAAAAATAAAATTTCAGTTACTGTAGGTTAACATAAAAAATCAATCTTAAGCTTATATCACTCTTTTTCCCCTGAATGACCTTATATCTTTTTGCTTTGGTAAACAAAACATATTCAAGATAAGGGATGTCCGAGTAATTTCCTAAACCATAGGGGAGGTCCCTGTAATTATGGCAAACCATAGGGGAGGTCCGTGCAATTTATCCTAAATAATATGAAAGAAGGGCTAGTTTTGGAAGTTTAAACTTCTCACACAAGTTTAAATCCATTATATCCATGTCTCCTGAAAAAGCCAGAGTTTCATATACGGAGAATTTTTCTATAACAAAGGGAGCATAATATTAATTCAGGAAACTATTGCAAAATTGTACGGAAGTAGAAACCACATCCATAGATAACCTTCAATCAAAAAAGAAAACAAGGTAACCATAAAATCTGTAAAACACAACAAACCTGTAAATTCAAAATCTTTGAATCAGCTTCAATGCGCTTCAACTTTGCTTCATAATCAGAGTTCTTTCCTGTTAATGATTAAAAAACAAAAACAAAAAACCATCTATCACTTCCAATAAGAGAGCCCCATTCAAAAATTAAGATAACAAATACTGAGAATTTGAGTAAATTATTAAAAATTCGAAAAACAAAAGACAATTAAATTTATATAAATAGCAGACATAAAGTTTAAAAATCGAAGGCATTTGCAGACGAAGCATCTCCCTACCTCCATAACCCAAAACCACAGGAATTACATAGAAAATGACACGTAAAAAGAAACTAAGATAAAATGAAAAGAAAATTGATACCAACATCATTTACAGTCTCTTTCCACTATTATTTTATTGACTTTCCGGCAGACAATCTACAGTAAGCTATTTCTAAATTATCAAAAAAAATAACATCTAACTCTCACAACACAACTTCAAGAGGTCTTCAGTGAAGCCTGACTTCACGATGATTGAACACGAAGAATGCCAAGTTCAGGTTCAACCTAAAAAGCTCTGAAAGTTGTTGAATTAATTGCAACTGACTGAACGTGGAAGGTGAACAACCACCTATGCAACTTTCAGTAACCCAGGAAGCCTGGATTAAGTCTACAGAACAGACTAAGCAGCTCCATACCTTTCATCTGAAGTGTCAATGTAGCATCCTCCACTTGGTTTGGACTAGTCCTACCATTGTCAACTTCAGGCAAACAAATACTATAATTCCCATAGTTTACTGTTTGACAGATCTCTAGTCCACTCAAAATTTCAATTATCAGAAATTAAAATAATGAATCACAATCATAATTCAAGATTCAGCTACAAAGGAACTCAAAATTGATGCCTTGCACTCTTGATTATGACATATCCGATCTCCAAATTCAGACTACTGATTTCTTTCGAGTACCAGAACTCCATATATAGACTTGATCATTTGACACTTAAAATCACATAAAAGATTACCAACAAATTTGGAGGATGAAATTCATGCATTTGAAATTAATCAAAACCAAAGCAACTCAATTCGTCCAACATGCTGAATCTAGCGTCCCCAAAAAGAACGTGAGAAAACACACAGGCTTCAATTTGTCCTCTCTCTCTCCTCTTTCACCAGTAAGTGGTGAGTTTCCTTTTTTCCTAGGTAGAAACCTCTTGGATTCAGAGTTTGTTCCAATAGTTGTCATGTGTTTAACAGGTTCAAGGCACATATGAAGGACCAAACATGACATATGCATAGACACATTGTTACATTGATGAAATAATTAGTAAAGAATATAAATCAATAATTAAATAAACAAAAACCTCACTACAGCAAAACATATTAATGAAGATTATATGACCAGTCAAAAAATCAATGATAATATTGGTCAAAGAAATTTTTAAAAATTTTAGCTGTCATACGTGTTAACAGGTTCAAGGCACGTATGAAGAAGGACCAAATATGACATGCACAGACATGTTTCATCAATATGAAATAATTAATAAAGATTATAAATCAATAATTAAATAAACAAAAATCACGCTACAGAAAATATATCAATGAAGATTATATAACCAGTCAAAAGATCAATGATAATATTTGTCAAAGAAATTCTTATAAACTTTATATCATTACTAAACAAAATAGTTTGCTTTGTAGAAAAGAATCATGCGACAACAACTATCCTGTTTCAATTTGAAAGTAAAGCCAACAAATTAATTGGTATTCAACTTTTTTACATTTTATGTCAAATCGCAGGTTATATGTTTTCTGCTGGTTTTCCTATATAATTTATTACATACAAGAAGATAACACCCGTCCAATAAAAACAGAATATAATACAATGGTGAACAGAAAATTAGTACTTGATCAAGGATGTGCTGGCAAAATAACTGGAACAGAAAAAAAGGAGCTAAAAACATATCTCAGAAGTAAATCTACAGAGTAGACAACAAAACCTGCCATTGCAGCTATCTTTGACAGATTCAGAAGACGCTTTCTTTCTGCCAGTGTTGGTTCCAACTCACTGTCATAAGAGTCAGTCCCCTCTTCAGTTTTTGAAATTGAGGTATCATTTTGAGACAGAGATAATACATGAAGAGTTTCGGAAGCCGAGGAGAATTGATGAAGAAACATTTCATGAAGCCAGAGGAGATCCTGATGCTGCTGTAGAAAAGTGGCAAGCTCTTCGGGGAACTCTTCCCCAAGTCTTAGAAGCTTGGAAAACTTCTTGTCCTCATACAGTTGTTTAAACACAAAGTAATTAAACCCTCCTTTAGGTCCCATGCTATCACGCTGCGCATCAAAATATGAAGAATTCTTTAGGGAAGATTAGAGCATGAAAGAAGATAAAGCATAAGGAGGGGAAATGAATCAACAGGCTAGAGTAATCGAGAGCAAAACTAAAACACAAATAGTAACTATACAACGAAGACGTGTTACACTACTTTCAAGAGATGAGCAATTAGAAATGAAGAGCCTAGTAAATAATTTTTTAATTTAACATAAAAAATATTCATACCATTAGATTTCTAAGGAGTTCTGCATCATTGAGATCGCAACATATATTCCACAGGGTTTGATAGCCTTCATGCCGTTTTGCAATAGACAACAAATTTGAGGAAAGCTGTCTGAGGATCACTTCAACTTGCTCTTCAGTTCCTTCGTTTAAATCCTGCAAAGATAATATAATGTTATACTAAAATTCTGAAACAGGTGAATTGCAGCACCATTTTCTTACACAGTATAATTTATTCATTCCATATTCAGATTTTCTAAGAATTACCACTAGCATCAATAATTCAACATTACAGCTCAACAGTTTCATATTCCTGTTTAGGACTTTAGATGATCAACGGTTCAACAAGATAATTAAAAAAAGAACTAGCAAAGGTATCTAGACCAAGGTTCGACAAAATTTTCAAACTTCAGCATCTTTAATACAACAAAAGTTTAATGTCTTCAAACAGTTTTGACTTAACTTTCAATTCTGAATTATTTCAGTTTCAGTTGTGACACTTTTTATTATGTATATATATTTTTTTTGATAAGTAAATTTTATTGAAGAACCGCTCAAAAGGGAAGCAGGGCCCAAGTACAAAAAACAAGGCCAAAACACCTCAAGCCTTCAAAGAGGCCAAAAAAACAACCAACTCCTCTACAGATCGAAAATCCCTCCCTGAAACCCAACAAAAAAGAGTGGACAGAATAGAGAACTTAAGCATAGAGATAGGCTTTTCCTTTCCATCGAAGTATCTCCTATTTCTCTTAAGCCAAATACACCACCAAACACATAGAGGCGTAGCCCTCCAAGCGTCCCGAATGAGAGCCCCCACTGAAAATCCTCTCCAAGCGTCAATCAACCCTCTAGTAGAGCTAGGCATCACCCACGGGATCCCAAACAACCCAATCATCAAGTCCCAACAGCCCCTAGCCATGCTACAATGCAGCAGAAGGTGATCAACAGTCGCCTCATCATGCAAACACAAATAACATCTATTAATCACCACCTGGTTCCTCCTCCTCAAATTATATACGTGATCGCAACCAGTTTTACAGACTTGGAAGTCTTAAATAAAAAAATCCCAGCCCAAGTAAAGTAATTAATAAATATCAAAACCGAAAGAGAAGTTTACTGCTACAGAATGGTAACATGCCCCAGTAAAACAAGATCTGCAAGGTTACAGCTAAAGTAACCTAAATATTTCTTGCTTTTAGTTACAAAAAAAATTGACAAAACTAATCAGCAAATAATGACAAAAGTGCAAATAATATAAGAGACTCAAACTACAACAGACACTTTTGGACAAAGCATAGTGCCCAAAGTCTTAGTTTTTGGCTTCCAAAGAGGATACGTCTTATCTAACAAAGCAATGGTTACCATAATCAAGGTTTTAAGATGTACATCCAACCAGACCCTCATAGCAATCCAAGGTGACCTACATGACTGATTGACAAGTTTAAACAAAAAACAAATTGAATTTACGTATGTGAATTTATAAAAAGTTAAAAAAAAAAAGAAAAAAGAAAAAAAGAAGGAAATATCAGTGCAAAATTACAAATAGAAGGGGAAAACAGAATAACTATCACAAAATCTAAATAATAATACAAGTTTTCTCACTCAGCCAAGATTGAAATGTGCTTGCACAACTTTCACGTCAAAGCAAAATAAGATTGTCGTGAGCATTTATTCGTTTATTCACTCTTTTGGGCAGGGGATTTATCAGAAATTCACCATTTCATGTATAATAGTTGACATTGCAAATTAACTCAACAAATTCTAATACAGAGCTCCAATCCCAATTCCCAACCAATCCAAAAATATAAATTAAATTGAAAGATGGCAAAATGAAGTTTAAATATGGATAAGAAAAGAAACAAACCAATACAATATTTACCGCCCAAGTCACTACAAGGATGCATATAAAGCTACCATCAGGATCACAGCATGGAAAGAACGAGATTAACCTGGCATTTGTCTTTTAAACATTTGACTTGCTGATAAAGGGAGTCAAGAAGTGTGTCTCTTCTATTACAATACTCGTCTAATAGGCCTTTGTGAGCTTCTCCACGCTCAACTTTTGCTGTGATAGAACCAGAATATGCCTCAAGTAAAATTTCAGCCAGTACTTCAAGATGAGAATGGAAATCTGATTTCGCAGACATATCAAGACAAGATGTTTCAGTTAACAGCTGAAGCATGAAAGCAGCAATGCTCCATAATCCACTACGTACCACGGGTTGACAATACCATGGTGTTAAGCCCTCAGGCGAGGGATACCACATGTGATGCTCATTTCTGTAGTGCATGGCCGTGCGAACTAAAGTCACAGCAGCATTTGAGAGTTCACAAGCTCTTTGAATCTGAACCACAAATGGCATCTCTACGCTGATTACATATTCTAGCTGTCCATTTAAGCAATAAAATACTTCTTGAAGGTCTGAAACCTTACTGTAGAATACTTCAGCATTATCTCTATCCATTAAAAGGATAGTATTTCTACGGGCCCTCTCACCCACTAGTTGAATCAAATCCCAAAGAGCACCAGAAATTTCACTTCTCGAACTCCGAGAAGGTGAGCCAACTCCAGTTGAACGGTTCTGGCTGATCGTGTTTTGCAGTTCCCTCAGTTGAATCATGCCAGCAAGCTTTTCACCATGTTCCAAAATAATTTGTAAAGATTGTCCTGATAGCCAAAGAAAAGAACATGAGTCTGATAAGTGCATTAGATAATATTTATGATAACACAAAATCAATCAAGCATGACAGCTCAGTTAAGAAGCTGATTGCATAATCTATTTAAGAATGCTCCAAAAGAAGAAATAGTTCTCAAAAATCTATAGCTGCCCTTCCGGAAACAGTAAAGTGTTGCTTATAACACAACATAGACAATATAAAGGTAGTGAAAACTCAAAAAAGTAATATAAGCACCTTTAACAAAACTGCATTAGTGCTCACCTCCAGACTCCAATTACTAAGGTTTTGCAAGTACTGCATTAATATTCAGACTACAATAACCATTTAACTGCTGCCAAATGTCAGATCCACTTTGTTTTTCATTACTTCATTTTCTATTTTCACTTCTTAACGGACACTTAAAAATGTACCCTAACCCACCCTCCGCTTTGAGATGTCATGTATACTTGGAACCACTATGTTACAACAACATTGGCTCAAAGATAAGGATTCAATGCACACAAACATATGCTAAAAGATAAAAAGCTTCATTAAATATTAGCTTTCAAGTATACCACACGCCAGCTGTATGGAAAATACAGAACTCAAAAGTGAAAATTGGGCCATTGATCATACCCTGTCTAGAACACAGTTCCTCATGGCACTTGGATAAAGCAAGAAACTGAAGAAACCTTTGATGCTTCTGCTGCTTATCCAAGAGTTGGTTAGACACAACAGCCATAGCCACAATCTCAGCACCTCTGGTTGTTGTCCAATGTTTACCTAAGGTGTCGACAATTGATTTGCTTACCCGAGCAAAAACATTTGTTTCTCCATCCCTTTCAAATGCCCCAGAACTTTTAAGTTTATCGAGTGAGCCGTCAACCTGCCCGGAAAGAAGAAAATCATTGAAAAGATGATTCAGAAGAGCTTCAGATTCTTCATCTTGAGAAGTTCGCTGTGCGATCCCAGTGACAACTGCCCTTTGTCTATCACCAACATCCCGCGCTACAGAACTAGCCCTTTTAGGAGCAATGTTGCCTGCAAATGAGAAGTTTCTTCTCTCCTCCTGCACAGATCCTTCATTCGAGCTCCCCTTGCGTGACAGGCTTCGCACAGGTGGTTCAACTGCACCAAGTAAAACAGCCTTCTCAGGAATTGCCCATACTCCAGCTTTCTCAGTGAGTATAGACCATGCTCCATCTTCACTGTCATCTGAAGGGAACACTGATGCATCTAAAACTTTTCCGGCATCATAAGGTAGATCAAATTGATATAGTCGTGTAGAGTTTCTCCAGTAATGCGAGACTGTTGCAGTTCCATCCCGTGAAAGTATAATTGCTGATCCAGAAGGCTTACCCCCTACACGCAATCTCATGGTAAATAAGAAGTCCTCATCTTCTACTCTTGCTCTTTGGATTATCACTTGAAGAGGTGCTTTTTTCTCCAAAACCCTCTCACATATTAGCCCAGTACTGTCTGACAAAATATTCACCCCAGATTTATATTGCATAGTCAGAAGTGAATATTCTATGTAACTTGATCTGCTGCTGGCCCGGTCCTCACAAAAGGTAGCTACAAGAATGGTAATTACTTTGCCATGATCGTCAACCTGCATATCCAGGGGCCATATTCTCTTCTGACCAGCCAGGTCCTTCTTGATACCCAAATCAGCATCAGTACCAATAATTTCATGCGACCAGAGCTTGGACACACTAAAATCGGAAGAAAGTTTAATAGCAAAACACTGAACCTCGTGATCTGTCAACAGAAAGAATTGCCGACTACTTCCCTCTGAAGACAGATGCGGAAAACGCCAAATTATTGACCTCGGATACCCATTGCTTCGAATGGTCTGGCCACCATTAGAGCCTTGCAATGATGTACTAAGAATTTCCTGACAAATTCGTTTACGCTGAATACCATTGGGGCTACAGTGGAATTGCCAGAGCTCGCCATTGGTACTACATGCAAGGGCAATACAGGAGAGTCCAGTATCAGGGATTGCAGAAGCTACCAAAGAATTAAAAGGACTTGCTTCAATTGAACTACTTCCAAGTCTGCTACGTTGCCACGGGTTAGAAATGGTCTTCCCATCACCAGGTGAGAAAGTCAACACTGACTCATCAGAAGATGCAAGGCTCATCACCGACGTAGTCCCACCTTCAGAATAGATGTCAGGCCAGTATACAACAGCTCGAGTTTTCAGATTACAAAGAACAACACCGGAAGAGTTGCGCTGTTGCACAACTTTGTTCGTGCTTGTGCGTGTGCTATCCCAATTGACAACACAGAGGGACCAACTATTTCCATGATAAAAATTTCTGCTAATATTTCCATTTCCTGAAACACTCGAAGGAAGTTCAAGAACGACACAGTTTCTTGAAGCTGCAGATGATAAGTAACTCCAGATAAAGAGTCTGTTCCCACAGACAATCCATCCAAGAGAGGTTCCCTTGTCCATTCCGCCAGAGACGCACAGATCACCTGGCAAAGGAAATACAGATGTTATCACCTCCAAAGGAACATTGCCTTCAAAGAAACTGAGATTGGATAAATAAATGTCAGAGCTAACGGTACTAACCAGGAATAGATTTCTGCAAGAGAAGGGCTTGTTCATCATGAACCACCTGGGGAAGCTCTCCAACATATACAGGTTGAATTGGATCTATATCATCCGGATTACCAGTTTTCTTGACTGGTGGAATTCTGGGTAGAATAAGAACAGATGATCAGAAAAAAATATATAAATAAATAAATAAATTCAGTGACCACAATAGTAAATGGAACTTGATAACATCTCCATGACATGTATTTTACGTTGTCCTCCATTTGACAATAGAAGGAAAAGAGAAATGTTATCTGATACTAACTCCAAACATAAAACAGAGTCCGAAACAATTCCCCAACACTTCCAAGCTTCTAGACTAAATAAAATCTAAAACTCAAAGCAAACACTACAATTAAGATTCACACAAATCATCAGCATTACCACAGTTAGTGTGATAACCATTATAATCAAATTCTGTAAAGTGTGTATAACAAGCACCAAGAACTTCAGTATTTCACAACATCATCCTACAACAAACAATAAACTGTAATTGTGTTGTGTGTGCGTGTATATATTTCTGTACATGTGCTTATGCAATACCTGGCGATAACAGATAAGCGAGAGGCCCATGGAGCGGGAGTGCCAGTGCTGGGGCGATTAGGGATTGAAGTGTCGTGAAGCGAGCTTCGATTCTCTGCAAGTGGAGTTATCGGCGAATCAGGGCGCGCGTGCCCTAGATTACGGTCCTTTCGAGCGCTGAAATTGGACTTCTTCGTCGCAGGAGAGAACATGACTGAGTAAGAGGGGAAAGTAAGAGTGTGAAGAGGGTTTAGGGTTTTAGGGTTCAATGTAGCATGAAATACTAAAATGAATATGGAGTTTATAGAGTTTCTGAGGTTTTGGTACTCGAAGATTTGGAGACTGAAGAGAGAGCTATGGAGTTTTATGGTTTCTAAAATTGGGAGTATCAAAAAAAGTGTGACACTATTTTGAATTCCGCTGAGTCACTCACAGCAAACATGAGAGAGAGAGGGCAGTGAATAATGATGATCACACGGGTCGGATCTTAAGAATTGAGCGCTTATGCAGGGTTTATTGGCCTGAATGATAAAAATAAAAATGCAACGGAGTAGAAAATTAGAATTGTAGGGTATATGGAATGACTGAAAATGTTGGGTCTGACTGGTCTAGCATCTTACTTTAAAGTTGTAAGAAACTTTTCTAAAAGTATTTTTATGGCTTGTTTAGTTGCATGAAATTGTTGTTTTAAAATTAGTATAACAGAATATAATTTTTTTTTTTTTTTTTAAATTTGTTATTAAAAAATTTATTTATTTGCACAATACAATGGAACCTATTATATTGGCTTAAAAATATTATTTAAGAGATGTATAAAAAAAACAATTAATATGATTCCTATAAAAATCTATAGAAATATCAATCACTCTATCATTTTATTTATTATTATTTTTTTTTTCTGGGCACGCTCATTTATCATTTTGCGAACCAAACCCTTAAATCTTTTTATTTAGGAGGAGAGACACCACTTATTAGACTAAAGCTTAGTGGTGTCTGAACTATAGATGCTTTTAAAACTGAAATCTAAAATATTACAACTCTGAACTAAAACCATACTTTAAATAATTGAACCTAAATGAATTATTTTGCCTAAACTAGCAAACAAAAGCTATCTTAATGTCTCCTTGCTCAATTTTAAAGGCCCTCATTTGTTTCAATGGATGATCGAATCCAACATAACTGTGAAATAATTGATTTTGCTTCCTTGTCTTTTGGCAAATGTACATTTTTTAATATGAGAAACAATGTTATCATTGTTGTTATCATGCTGCAACATGCATTAGGATAGTAAACAATGGTTCATCGCAGCCGAGGGTCACGAGGGCGTATATATACCAATTCGATCCGAGCTCTCTTTACATACCCAGCCATTTGTTCCATAAAACAGTGAAAAAAAAAAAAAAAAAAAAAAAAACCACAAATACAAGTAAATATATAATGCAAAAATATGATATCGAAAACCAATTAAATCTAAATCTGACATTATAAACACACATCCACATACCCTCTACTTTCTCCTCAATTTTCAATGTATAGAGATAGTGAACAAATAAAGCAGCACAAGTTTGTATGACAAGATTCACAAATGAATTTCGTATCGAATATTAAGATTACTCTTCGTATAAAAGAAGAATCGCATAAACCTCTATCAATAAAGCATCACCATTTTTATTGCTTGCTTAAAGTTACACAGAATTCAGAAGAACCAGACATCCACCACGAAAATTTTCAAAACCACACAACTGATTGTTGATATAACAAAGCAGCCCAAACAGAAATAAACAACTCACTGAGAAACCTTCATTGGCAAGGGAACTGTCTCACAGCTAACTGACACTACCATCATTTCAGCTAAATCATTATATTCTTTTCCACACATTTAGAACAGAAGAAGCAATTACAAAAACAAAGTTTATAGAAGGGCTTGCATACAAAGAGGGTTTCCTCGAAGAGAAACAAACAGCAATACCTTCCCCCAAAAAAAATAATAATGTTTCCTAATCTTTGTTTTTCTTAAAGAAAATTTATAGTACATGCAGACAAAAAAAATTGTTTCCTAATCTTTGTTTTTCTTAAAGAAAATTTATAGTACATTCATAAAAGCAGAGCTATGATCAAGGTTCCAACTTCAAGGAAACGACTCGTGACTGCCTGTTGCGCTTCGCCACCTTCACAAACACTGCTGAGAGGAAAGGTGGAGCCCACCATGGTCTGCGGACCTTTTGCTCCCCTTTCAGGCAAGCCACTAGAGGAACATTTGAAGGCAGTAAATACAACTGCAAACTAAATCACACTCCAGTGCAAATAGTAGATATACAGACACAACAAATTTTATTGAAGAAATTATTTCACTAGAGTGAAAAAAGGTAGTAGTGCAACAATACTGACACCATAAATGCAACACCAATATAAAATAAAGTGTTTTCCACAATAATTAAGGAACCCACTTTTTTTAATCTTGATCTTCAAGGAATAAAATCTTATATCAATGAGTTTTCAATCTTGTGAAGCAATGACACTAGGAATTGTACGTGTCTTTTATCTCAAACAACCATACCTAGGACCCAACACATAATTTGTAAGTACGAAAGTACTGATTGAATACAATGTGGGAAGGAGTGAAGCACAAAACAGGAGTGACATTTGATATAGTATGGAAAGCACATCTTATGTAAAACTGTTGAATTTGTTTGGTGGGAAGGAGTAAAACACGAAACAGGAGTGACATTTGATATAGTATTGAAAGCACATCTTATATAAAACCGTTGAATTTGTTTGTTTCCTGGTAAAACTGTAACATCTTTGACATATATTTGGACATTCCTTAACATCAGCTCTTCATTTATCTATATACTGCCAACTTCGTGGAGCCTAATAATATTTTGATGCTCCTGTAACTCAGAAATAGGCACACTTTATGTGTGCATAAAAAATCCCACGTCTTAACACTGGGAGTGTGAACTGAAGGGGAAACTATCTACATATATAGGAGTTTACTCCAGTAGCATAGCTCAAAAAAATAACATATGATTCTTTTCATATGACATACGTAGAACTTCATTAAAATAGGTGCTCGAAGCAATAATATAGGCTCAGACTGTCAAGCATGAAAACACGAGTTCAAGTTCAAGAACAGCCACTTTGTGCACATAATACTAAAGGATAGATCTGTATCCAGTATAGTTTACCCTTTCCAAGACCCTATATTGACAAAATAGCACCAGGTAACATGTTTTTTTTTTTTTTTAAATAAAACTTTGTTCAAAGGTGCAGACATATACACAAATGCAGAGAGAGAGGAAGGACCTTTGATTCGCCTCAGTTCCTTGCACAAGGTGATGAAGTCCCCCCATTTCATGTGGCAGCGCCTTATAAACCGAAGTATCTGTTCCGTTGTGAACATGGACATTCCCTCCAAATATTCTCCATTGACACCATTTTCTTTGAAAATTTGGCGGTAGCCACCAAGATTTATCTCTTCCAACCACAGACCAACATCCTGGCAAACCATAAAAGAGGTAAGGAGGCATATCATTGATCCAATTAACAAATAGATCAATGAATCTTATGTCATCAAAACCACAAAGTTTGATTCCTTGTTCATATAATTGTAGAATGTTAGCTTCTAAGTTGAACTTTGTTGGTACAGCTTGCTTTTTGCTCATTTCAGTTATTGAATAAAATCCATTAACAAGCAAATTGCAAAGCAATTTCTTTTACACTTATTTCAAATCTCTTCCTTGCATAAAAGTTCAAATGTTCACAAAATATAGTGAGAAAATGATTAATCACCAAAAAACATTATGCCTAACAAAAAGAGGAGGGGAGGGTCCAGGGGGGAGTGGGTGGAGGACCAATCATTTACTAAATGCAAGCTCTGTCAAGACACTACTTGAATGAACCAATTGTCTTCACACACTTAATGAGATAGTAACAAGCTTAAATATCAGTTCCTGATGAAATGGGTTAACAACTTGGGGGCATTTTTTTCCCTTTTTGGTGTAAGGGTTTGTGTTGGATGATTGATGCACGGTGTTAGATTTAGAATCTTTTATAAATTATGTAAAAGGTATTTTTAGGTGATGTCCGCTTGATTTACTGCTTTCCGGCTGAAAATTAGATCCAACGTGTGTTGCATCATTATTATCCTTTCAGGTTCACGTCATTTATTGTTCCATTCATCTATGTCGTGTGATATCTGTACTGCAGCAGTTATAAGTAAAGAACTTGCTGAGAAAAGCATGCTAATACCTTTGGGGAAAGTCCTCATACAGGGTTAAGTCAGTTCTTATGGAATGAGATACTAATTTCATTTTTGGCAGCTGTTCTGTGTCATCGAAATTGGAGAAATCTGAGGCATTTTTAAATCAAAACTTACTACTCCATATATGTCATTCATTCAGAATACGAAATGTATATTTACACTAAATATTATAGATGTCAATACCCTAAAAGGTGACATTCTCTATACAAATATAGGTCATGACAGATAAAACTCTGACAGCAGACACTTTATACTCGCAATTGGACAATTCCCAGCTTTACATCATTAACCTGACAGAAGACACTTTGTCGTGCTTAAACTTAATAGAGTTCAGAAAACTCCACGTCTCCAATTTCCATGAAGACTGGACATCATTGTGCTACTGGACCCTTGTAGAAGGAAGAAGGCATTTAGTTCTAAACCCAAATTCCTTTTTCCCTATTTGCTTCTCATTCTGATACGAAGGTTATTGTTTTGTTACTTACAATGATAATAATAAAAAACAACAACAATAATAATAATAACAACAACAACAGTATTAGTAGCAGCAGCAGCAATCTCGTCTGCCAACTATTAGGATCTAAATGGGTGCCACAAAAGTATAGATAAACCTTCTGTCAAATGATCTAAAGTCCCACTTGTATCCTTGAGAAGTTAAAGTTAATAAACACACTTTGATAAACCATGATTAAGTATAGAGCCCATAGTAGCTGAATATTAGAAATCACGCGTTCAAAATCTTAATGCATACTATGTGTCCAGGAAAACCAAAGTGCATATGTTAACAAAACTCAACAAAACTTTTTTCCCAACTACTTGGGGTTGCTTAAATGGATCCTGTTTTTCCATTCCGCTCCACCTAAGGCCATAACCTCAGTCAAACCATACATTATCATATTTTTCCTCACTAACTCATACCCACTTTAATTTTGGTTCTCCCTTTTTCCTAACATTAACCTAAACGTGGACCATGTCACTCTTCCTAACTTGTGCACTTAGTGGTGTTCTTTGCACATTTCCAAACCTCCTTAATCTGTTTTCTGTCATTTTATCACCAATTTTTGCTACTTCAACCATATAACGAATTTGTTAATTTCTAATTCCATCTTTTTTTGTCTTGCCGCACATCCATCTCAGCTGCTTAACATTGTGTCCAATAAAGAACGGTTGGTTTAATAGCTGTTTTATAGAATTTTCCTTTTGATCTTAGCTAGATACGCCAATCACAAAATATACTAGATTCCAGTCTTGATTTTATGATTAATACTATCTCCAATTTCTCCTTCATTATGAATAATTTAGCCTCAATCTAAATTTACTAAAGTTACACATCAATACGTCATATATTCAATTTTATTCACACTTATCATTAAAATAACATCATCAGCAAGTAAAATGCACCATGAAATCTCATACTGAATGTGTCTTGTCAGTTCATCCATAACTAAGACCTTTGATATAAACCTACAGTAATTGAGAATTCACTTGTTTCCTCCACAGTTCTAACCATAGTTGCTCATCCATCACACATGTCCTTTACTGTGTCAATATATTCTTTTATGACTTTTTTTTGGGGAAAAAAAAAAAAAAATACACTCCATATTAGATCTCAAGGTACCTTATCATGGGCTTCTTTTAAATCAAATAAAAATAATAATCATAGTTTCTATCTAATGAGTATATACTACAGTTCTACATCTTTTTGTAGTGCAAGTGAAAAGAACTGGAGATCAGTTAAATGAGTGATGAAGGAAAAGAAAAAGACAGTGTGCAACCGATACATTTATATCCAAGTTTCTATTGATTTTAGTACACAGACACACAAGCGTGCACATACACACACACACACACAGAAGAGGGGGGAAGTTATGAATGTATTAATATTATACAATATGCAAGCTTGGAATCTTGGGTGGTGCAGAATACATACCAACACCCCTAGAGAAACACTTTTATCTCATCTACCACAAAACTTGTGAATTAAATCATTAGCTGGAACAAGCAAACTAAACAACATTTCCCCCACCCACCATTGTGTTTTCATTTAATTGGTCAGTATAAGAAACAAACACAACCATATGACAAATGGGAAAAGCCAAAACTATAATTAACATGAAATCCCAAATGCTTAATTTAATAAACAATTATTTAAACAACAATACATGTTTCTATTTTTTCTTATGAATTCGCCAAACATATCATGAACAATAGACCTCCCAGCCAAAATAAATAAATAAACAAATAATGAAACAAAACTCTAATCCCAAATTTACTGATTCTCAGTTAATTGCGAGCAACTGTGAAAGAAAAGTAAAAAATCTCAACCTTTTATTTCTTTAAGTTGAATTTTTCTCAGAATAAGATAACCCATATTTAGTTAAGCCAAATAGTTGTATGAGATTGAGCACCAGTCTTGTAAGATTTCTGTTTGCCCAGGACCCATATCATTCACAAAATTGAATTTTGCTTTCTTTCCCTGAATTTTCTCACCACCCAAACGGTCGAAAAGCAACTAGAGTATTACATAATGATAAATTCAATTACACATGAACATGTAACATATAGCAAATCAAGATGACTGATAGAAAAGACCTATTTGTGCAATAATATACGATCAGCATCAAGTATACACAAAATAATAGCAGAATATACCTCAACAGTCCAAATGAAGAAATCAAGTGGCTCAGGTGGCCGTTCTTTGGTCATCTCCCAAATCAGTATTCAAAAGGCCCTAATCTCAAAATACAATAAAACCTCATTAAGATCGAATCTACTTAAAATTCCACTATATATTTTCTAAATAAATCAGCAAAAAATAATAAAATATACAGACAATTATATACACACACAAATATGTGCGTGGACCAGCGTGGTGTGTGTATTGAAATGAGGAGATTGAGATGGATTTACCCTGTGAAGAAGTCGGTTATCAGGCTTTGCTTTTCAACATTTGAAGGTGAGAGAATTGGCTTCAGAGAAGGAAAGCGGAATGGTTCTCTGTACCAAAGGCTTCACTTTTGGTCTCGATGAACCGGACTGCTGAATTATGTGTGTGTGTGTGTGCGCGCGCGCGCGCGCGTGTGCGTGTGCGTGTGTGTTTGCGTGTGTGCGTGCTTCGATTTTAAAGATATTCACCACGCGATAATAGTGTACGCGCTTTCACGAGCGATCATGTCATCTAACGTGTCCAGACATGTGCGAAAATGGGGTACCGTACACCAAAGTAAATGGAAGGGAAGAATCAGCTGCGGCGGTAGTTTCCCATTTTTCGGTACAACCGCTACCAAGATATCTCACATTGTCTCAGCTCTCACCAAACATTTAAAATTAGGGCAAAATGCAAGAAAATTTCTGATGTTTCAAGTTTTGGCAACTTCTAACAAGCAGCCCAGGGAGCTTTTACTAATAAAAAATAACAATGGCAATCCTCTCACCATTTGTCATGTGACTCATGTGGCACATCAGTGCAAAACCCTATTTTACCATTTATATTGATCAAAATGCCATATTGCACTAATAAAATAATCATTTGTCTTTACAAATCGTCTTATTCACTTAACATTTTAATCAATATAAATGGTAAATGAGGTTTTCGTATAGATTTGTTATCTAAACGCATTGTGCCGTTACAATTTGATCTTACACTTTTCTATCAAATTTAATTGTACCAAAATGAGAGTCCTATAATTTAGATCTCTTATATACTTATCATGAATTTGGATTAATTTTAACAAGCATAGAAGAAACATCATATAATTGAGTAACTTTGGGTTTCATTACCAAAAAAAAAAAACCCTTCAAAAAATAATAATAATAAAAAAAAATTACAATAACCTCTCATGAAATTTCGCCAATATAAACTAAACTATCCCTTTATTTATTAAATTACACTCATTTTTTTAAAATTTATATATAAATAATACACACCTCTCATTAGTCAACAGTCAACAACGATTAAAAAATTAATGTGAAAGAATTAGTAATTCCCAAATTTAAATCTACCCTTAAAAACACATGTTTATTGCAATCGACTTTTGCTATAAATGTATACTCCTGTAATCAGGAGAGGGATTAAAGCTTCATGATTCATGGAGAGAGAGAGAGTACATAAGCTGCAATTATGGGCAATTTGACCATGTACGCGCGCCCCAATATGTGTTGTGCACTTCTAGTGTGGGGCTGGCTAATCGTGTCCCAAACTCCAAGTGGGACCACTCGAATCCATCTAAGATCACAACCATTGGGATTGATGATTAAGAGTGATTATTAAGAGTGGCAAGTCCACAAGGATTTTTAAGTGTGGACGAGAGTACAGTATATATTAGAAACACTCCGTTTTCTTGTATACGTATTACATGTTATGTCCACGTGTCAAATGTGTAGCTGAGTTGCTTTACGTTCCATTTTCCAGGATCACATGGTATTGAGTGAGAGAGCATATAGCTCTTCATTATCAACTAGTACCAAAAAAACAACACTCACTCGCGGTAGTAATGAAGTGAAGTACCACAAAAGAGAGATCATATTTAATAAAAAAAAATTATTTTTTCTTTTTTGTAATTGGTACATGTTTAAAGTTATAAACTTGTTTATAATTTTCATTTTTTTGTAATTTCTTATGAAAAAAAAAGGGATATATAGGCAATTTATCAAGTGATTCGAGTAGTAATAAAGTGGAGTACAAGTGTACAGCAAAGAGAAAGTGTACCCTAATAAAAGCTGGGTTTTTTTTTTTTTTTTTTTTTTTTTTTTCCTTTTTGTAATTGGTAAATGTTTAAAGTTATAAACTTTTTTATTATTTTCATTTTTTGTGATAAAAAAAAATATTTTTTCATTTTTTTGGTAATTTCTTATGGAAAAAATTAAAATGTGATATTTGTAGTGTATTTTTATATTCTAGTACTTTGCTTGAGTTTTTTCTAAACAAAATAATGCAATTACCCATAAAAAATGAAGTATAAAAATATATTTTTAAAAAAAATTGAGAGTACAAGGGTACAAAAAGTACAAATAAGATTTTTATTTTTAACACAGTAATAACATTGAGCAAGTGAAATTAACTTCCTCGTGTCCATTGATTTGACATGTTTGGTTCAAACATGTTATCATTAGATATTAAATTCATCAATACATTTCTAACCTTTATTCTTTCTTTTTCCATCCTTCATATGGAGTTTCAAGCATAAAGTAGTGTAATATATGATGTTGATAACTGGGAACATTTACATATATATATATATATATATATATATATGAAAGTACATTCATACACATATATAGATCTTTACTTAAGATTATTCATTTACAAGAAAAGTATATATATATATATATATGAAAGTGCATTCATACACATATATAGATCTTTACTTAAGATTATTCATTTACAAGAAAAGTATATTCTTATATATATATATATATATATATATAGACATCAATTAATCATAACAATATCACTAAGTTTCCAGCACCATTGGTCTTGTCTTGCTAATTATTGGATTCTAATCATCTACTTTTTATAAGTGCCTTACATAAATAATTAAGTGGTTGAGTCCGGTCAAAGCATTTTCCATGACTAGATTGTCACATACCATATGGAGTAAAGTGGAGTAGGTGCAACATGAAAATCATTTGGTAGGTCCTTAGTTCATATTTTAATTTTCCATCAATTAGTTTCATCCGATAAGAGATATATATATCTGTGTGTGTGTGTGTGTGTCCAACCTCTGTAATCTATGGCAATGATTTCGGTTGACAGGTATGACATTCAAACTTCTAAGTATGAGTAATAAATCAGGTTTGGTTAAGTCTTAAGGTCGACACAGGAAGCATTAGATCATTAACATATCAGGTTGGTGACAGAGTAATTGAATTTGAAACTATGTATATGAATATATATGTGTAACAGATGAACAATTTAAGATGCTAAATTAATTAAGAATTAGATCTTTTTTATATATATATATATATTAAGTCTTAAGGTCGACACAGGAAGCATTAGATCATTAACATATCAGGTTGGTGACAGAGTAATTGAATTTGAAACTATGTATATGAATATATATGTGTAACAGATGAACAATTTAAGATGCTAAATTAATTAAGAATTAGATCTTTTATAATTTAGCATCTTAAATTGTTCATCTGTTACACATATATATTCATATACATAGTTTCAAATTCAATTACTCTGTCACCAACCTGATATGTTAATGATCTAATGCTTCCTGTGTCGACCTTAAGACTTAATATATATATATATATATATAAAAAAGATCTAATTCTTAATTAATTTAGCATCTTAAATTGTTCATCTGTTACACATATATATGGTGTTGATGCGAAAATTCTCGCGATTCGGAACGACGGCGTTTACTTGCAAAACAAAAGGACGTCACATCGAATGGCACCGGTGGAGTGCCGGCCGAGGACCCTCTGACGATCAAGTTAGTTGTGACGGTCCTGATTTTTCAAGCCAGTGCGTTATATGATGAACCGTAATTTGACCCGATAACAGATCCGAAATGCGGAAGCGAAAATAGAAATCAAGACTCTAAGAAGTCAAAGTGACCTTCCATGAGGTTGTGGAACTCAATGAGAACTGATGTGGAAGCAAAAGACCAAAAATATGACAAATAAGCCCCTAGGGGCAAAATAGTCATTTCTAAAAACTGTGGACCCGGGTGCCACTGAGTATACCACTGGAAGGACAACGAAAAACTAATCAAGATGGACTCAAGAATCACTTTATTCGAAGTCCGAATGAAGAAAATATGAAACTCCAAAGCTTCATAAAATCAAACTTTTGGGTTTGAAATCAATGCGGCAAGGGTACTTTATAAGGAGTAAAATGGTCTTTTCAGATATAATTTGATGCAACTGTGCATACAGTTATATAGACCAGCAAAAACTAATAAATCTAGAGTCAAAAATTACTTGATTTGGAGTCCGGATGATGAAGATATGAAGCCTCAAAGTTTTAAAAAAATTAACTTATTTTCTGAGTAAGAAATCTGGGAAGGAATAGTGTTTTTACAGCAAGCAATATTTGATTTTTTTTTTTCTCAGAACTGAGGCTAAAAACGGACCCTTAAATGAGTTTTTCTGGAAAAACACGAAGAAGAAACCCCCTTTAAAATCACGTTTGCTACCCGGCCGCTTGGAAGGAAACAAAAAAACACACACTATAAAATCCCTAAAATGCCCCCTAGATCAGCATAGATTAAGAAAGTCCAAAAAGCTGCTACAAGATTTGTTTTCAGAATCTGCCCGCAACTGAGAGCAAAAACGGGTTAGAAGATGAATTTTTCTGGAAAAACACGAAAAAGAAACCCCTCCCAAAATCAAATTTTTTACCCGGTTTCACGAGAAAAAATGAAAAAAACTCACTGTAAAATGTCCAAAATGGCCCTCCACGAAATCTGGTAATGAGGGTGAAAAAGTTGCTACATTGCAAAACTGAAAATTGAACTTTGCGAGGAATTTCTGGCACCAATAAGACATTTTCTGGAAAAACACAAAGAAGAAACCCCCCCTAAAATCACCTTTTCTAAGCGACCATGTCGAAAGAAGAAAATGAAACTGATGTGACAAGTCTAGAAAGCCCCTAGATCAGATTATGCAACAAAGTTTCAAAATGAGTCCATAGGAGGCTCATTTCACCAAAGAAGAAGATTTGCCCGGAAACGACCATGCACGCAAACGTAACTTACCTATTAGGACGTGCTACAATGGTTCGTGGCTTAAATATACCACCGATGCAAAATCCGACCCCCCAACGAGCAAAAAGGCAAAAATGAACAAGAAAAGGGAAATTTGAAAACTAAAATTAACAAATGATTTCAAATTACCGTTTGACCCTTGGCCACACTTCAAACATGATTTATAAGACCCTATGAAAGAATAAAAATGGAATTCCCACACTCGATGCAAGCATAGTGAAGCAATGACTCGGCATTTTTTAATATTTTCATAATATTTCATGAAGTTAAAAGTTACATAGGATACAAATTAGATGTCATTGGCCTATGGCCTCATCTCATACATAT